TCCTGCCGTCGCAACGGCTGGTTCAAATGACGCTCGGAAGACCCTCTTGACTCCAGTTCTACCGCTTATCACCCGTCTTCAGAGCTCCCGACGCGCCGCCGCTACGCCGCAAACACTTCCCAAGCCCACACCACTGGACGCGACGCTGCTGTACGTCGAAAATGCGTCGACATGGCGTCAATATGCCCGAGTGGTTGTCGACCTGACTCCTGCTACGCTTCAGTCAGCTACAAATACCGACTCTCAGCCCGCGTTTCGCCGCTTTGAGAGTGGACCAGCAGTCGATCGAGTCCTGATTGTGCTGTGTGAGTGGCTGCTCGCAGCTCCTGGCAGTTTGGAGTCCAGCGAACTCTTTTTGAACGAGATTTACCAGGACGAAGTGGTGGCTATCGTAGTGCAGGCACTAGCTAGTCCCACGCTGCAAGCACGACAGCAGTCTATTGCTGATCCATTCGGTGCTCTTTCGGTCGCCCGGAAGGCCCTGGCCGTGCCGATAGGCCCCGTGATGCTATCGAGACTAGCTGTCAACGACCCTTCTCAGGTCGAGACGCTCATGGATGCCGTCATCGCGGTCGTGGTGGAGACGACAACGGGAAACAAGACCATCGCACAACAGGAGCAAGACGCGCTGATCACGACGCCATTGGTGTTTAAAAGTGCGCGACGTGCTTGTATCGAGATAGCTAAGCTGACGCCGTTGTATGCAGCGAAGCTGTGTGAGAAGCTGAGTCGCCAAACGACGTCGCTGCATTGTGTCGATATGGCGTTCGAGCTGCTGACATCGTTCCCGAGTCGAGAGGATATGCGTGTGTTCATTTATCAGTGGTTGAAAAGAGATGGTGCGCCGGGACCAGCACTGTGGACGTATGCGCAGCTTGCATGTCGAGAAGCTACAGCAGGAACGAGCGAGTTTCAGCAGTGTGCGGTCGCCAACTTGGCAAAGATCTGGGATGTGCTGCTAGACACGCTTGACAGCCGTAACGTGAGCGTGCTGCCGTACAAATTGACGACGACTTTGGCTGTGTGTGTTGGACTTCAAGTGCTTGGCAGTTTCCCGGTATTGGAATCAGATCGTATCCGAATTCTGCAGGGCCTTGATGCACTTGCGCCATCCTCGTCGCCACGCTCGATAAGCCTGGCATTCATTATTGTGGTGCTGTTGTGGTACCCGTTCGCTCCATCGTTGAGTAAGGCGCCCGGTCAGCGCGATGAGCACACTAAAAGTGCTGTGACTCTATCTCAGCAGGTGCTGGTGTCACTGTTCCATGCACGACAAGCTGGCGCTGGACCGCTGTTTGTGCTATCAGCGGTGCTGTTCTACACTAAAGCTCCTGCTCTTGTACCTTTCCCCGCGTCGGTGATTGGTTTTGATGGAGACACACGTGACTCTTTCTCGACTTCCGCATCAGGGTGTGGCATTCAGGTGCAGCTGGCGTTGCGAGCGGAATACCTCCATGTGTTTGGGGATGTCGTGCTTATGCCTGTCCTGACGGAAAGTCTGCTGGCTCGCGAGGTGCTGACATTTCCGCCAGTAGCCCGTATCTCGGCATCAGATGCAGCGTCAGTAGGCTCCGAGCATGATTTAACCTTGCGTGGATTGCATGGGTTGCTGTGCGAGAAGTCTTTCTTGTGGCATCATCATGCTCATCGGCTTGAAAGCTGGATGGCTACTCAGATCGGCGAACATGCAGCATTGCCTGTTCACCCTCTTCTTGTCAGCTTGCTGCTTGAGTGGGTTGAGAACTATGTGATGGCGTTTGAGTACCCTATCGCTCAATTCCCTAACCGGTATCAACTTTCGGTTGTTCCGTTGCGAAGCTCGACCTTGACAAAGTGGCTGGCGTCTCCGCTTTTGGGTCAATCCTACAAGTGCAAGAGTGGACGAGAAGCTGAATTGATTTGGGCACGTGGTGTATTGGGGCTTGCGTACGCATTGCAGTTTAATCGGCGCGTACGTCGTGCTACGATGGTTGCTGGCAGCAAGCTGAGCAGTCTGGCTTCCACTTCATCGGTATCCTCCAATGCGTCGGTCTCAGCTGGAATGGGTCCGGGAGCTGACATTTGCTTGCAATATGACCTGAGTGCATTCCCGTTGCGCAACATTGCGACTCAAGCCCTTGCACACGGAGACCAGCGTAATATTTTCGAGTTCGTTGCTCCTTCGTTGCTGCGACTCATGATGGAAGAACACCCCCAGCTTTTCGATGCTGTCACAGCTTTGGCACCATCAGGTTCGACGTTACAGTTGTTACCTCTCGCTTCTAGTCCCAGCGATGAAGCAGAGTGTGACCTGGTCAATAGCTGGTTTCGTCGTCATCGCAAATGTGGTGACACGCTCGATGTTCGCGTAGAGCAGTCGCCAGTGTCGTTGACAGCAGTCCATCTGCTCTTGGCTGGGTTACAGTCGGCGCCTATTGACGTGGTGGTGCATCAGTTGCTTGCGCTAGCTGACGCTTTCTTGCCGTATGACATCGTGTCATCGCAAATCTCGTTGCCGTTGCGTTGATATTAGTATTGCTACCGACGCAATTGCAGGGTACAAAACCGCCACGAAGCAAGACTTTCACGTGTGCGAAGCCTCGCGCGCGAGTGATCACCAGGAGAACAAGCAACAGCAGCACATGGCGGCAAAAGTGCGGGTCAAGCCGTCGCATGCATGGAGAGATGGAGAAGTAGAGATGGGCGACTTGCCAAGGCCACGTGCAGTGGTGACTGAGGCTGCTGGAGGTTCAAAGCAGACAGAACGTGCTCCGATGTCCTTTCGGAATGAACAGTCGAAGGTCCAGTCAGAGCTACACACTGAGCGGCAGACGCTGTTGCGAGCGAAAAAGACACGGTTGCGGGAAATGGTAGAGACTGAACGAACAGCTGCGTACAATACGCAGCACGAGCTGCATGGCATGCGGGATGGGCGTCTTGCTCCGGGCAACATGCCTGTCAATGATATAACGACAGGTACTGCATGCTGAGTTCTCGACAACATTGAAGCATGTTGGAATGACTCGAACGCTGTTTTACTGTCGCAGGTGCTGCTGCGTTGGAGATTGTGGATGAGTTCATGAGGGGCCCTCTGATGGACAAGTTTGGGTGAGAAAAAGCTTCCTGTATCATGCAGTATGATGCCGTCGGCGAGGTTGAGTTTCGATTCAGATTGCTGGTGCTTAAGCATCGACGTTGTGTACTACCAAGCGTCGATCCCGAGCGTCATTCGTTGCAGAGCCAGTGACGCCATTCAGCGGCGCCCACCACTGGAAGAGACTCGTGCTGCACAATGACATCAGACAAGTACTTTGTAGAATGCACGGCACCGATTTGACCGCCGATCAAATGAACCGAGGTGAGGTGAGGTGGACGCTGTCATGGCGGCGATCTTCGATATGTGCTATAGCAGTGACGAGGTGCCGTGCAAAGCGTTTGGCTAACGTGCCTCTGCTTGCTCGATGGACATGGGACCACTCGTAGCGACCGTTGACTTGCAATTGGTGCAGGAACGCATGAGTGTGCAGCAATTTCTGCTCGAGGGTCGTGTTCAGAGCGCACGCGGCATGCGGGCGCGGTTGGTGAACATGGAGCCCCACTTGCTGCAGAAGGAGAGCGCGATGGACTTCTTGTTGGCGAAACAAGAGCTGATTGAGCTGATCAAACGTCAGGAGATCGAAGAAGCGTTGCAGTTTGCAATCGAAAACCTCGCACCATTCGGTCGAGCGAGCGTGGGTGGTCACACGTGATGATGCTGTAGCTGGATGGAGAAGAATGGTTTCTTATGGTATGAGTGATGCACAGCCCCATTTTCTCCGTGAGATCGAACAGACAATGTCACTTGTTGCGTTCCAAAATCCGTCCGAGTCGCCACTGGGGCATTTGCTGGAGCAATCTCAACGCTGCCGTGTGGCGAGCGAAGTCAACTCGGCGATCTTGCGAAGCCAAGTGCAGGAACCCGGTACGTGATGAAGTACGCATCGAAGTCAATGAACTGATTTGTTCTTGTACTTACGTCACTGCCTTTCTGTCGATCGGGTGTCGTGTACAGAGCCCATGCTGTCCTTGATGGTCCAGCAATTCCATTACATGGATGAACAGCTGGAAACTAAGCTCAGCCGTCGCTCGCATGGCATCCGAGTTGACGACTCGACACGCTAGACGACTTGCGACAGTGTCTTGTTTCACGGTCGCCTCAAGCGGCACTACCGTACAGAGTCGTCGCGATGCGCCGGTCCCGTTGTGTACGAGTGCGTCATTGCATAGCGTTTGTGCCCGCTGGTCAATCTTGCAAGTCAACTAATCTCAAGCTACTCTGCGCCATCACTTTGTTTCTTCGTAAAGCTGTTCGATTGCCACCAACCGCCTCGTGAGAGGTCCAGCACGATAGGGGAATAAATCAGCAGCAGCAAGTCGATTGATGTCAAGTCGCAGTCGGATAAGCACGCTCATCACACCTTCCAGTTGCTGACAAGCCTGCAGCTTTTGCTTGCTCGTCCTCCACTGTGTGTTGAGACGTCGCAAGTATTGCACGATGTACCTGAGCATTTGCGTTTCTGCAGCAGCAAGGAAACAACAAATGAGTGGGGAGGGGCGTCAACATATGAACAAGGGGGTCCAAACTCGTACCATCGGACACGAGGAGGTCAAGCAGCACTGAATGGTCCCATCCAAGCGTCTCTACTAGATCCGCAAACAGCAGGTCCGGGTCGAATTCTGCCGCTAGGTAAGTAGCAACTGACGGGTACGATTGAGCAAGGACGGGGTGACTTGCACACGTTGTCATCCGTGTAAGGTTCTGGAGAACTTCAACCATCGTGTCGTCTTGCTCAACCAGTACCGTCCAGACTTGCTTCCGACTCACTTGCTGTTCCGACAGGCAGTGCAACGCGTTCTTCGCAGCCGGTAGTCGCCACGTCTCCGCATCAGCACACCGTCTCCGCAGCGACTCTTCCATCCATGCAGCTCCCACTCGACTTACGCAAAGAAGCCATTGCTGCAGAAAGGGGTACCGTCCCGAGCTTGCAACGAATGCCGTTTGGCTGGTCACTGTTTGGCTTTCGTCTGCATGGAGCAGCTGCAGTGCCGTGGACGTGCAGGCCGACTGCACCGACCACGCTAGACACGTCTCAAGCCACTGCGCATACACAGCTTCGAGACCGCTCGCGTCCCGTTTGCCACCGTCATCTTCCTGTTCTAGGCCAAGCCACGAAGTCGCGAGCGCTTGAAAATCGCCGAGCAGCTTCAAGACTGCACAGGACACAAAAGCCGGTTGACTTGCGTAGTCCATTGCCATGCAAACGTCGTCGACGAGTGCTATCACGACTTTGCCCAGTGCGACTCGAAAGTGATCGGTGCTCTCCAAGTGGCAGACGCGTTTGACGATGTCGCTCATCAGCACAAGCGCCTCGTACTGCACCGAATTTGGAGCGGCTGTTGCTCGCGCGACCTCGAGACCATCTCCGGAGCCGTCGGCTGGTAAGAAAACACTGCGCACCATGGCCCCCACCTGTCGTATCGTGGCTGCAACTGCCTGTCGATACGGAAACGCCAGGCCACATTCTGACTGATTGTCTCGGTCGTCTTCTCCCAACAGCTTCACAGTTTGCACAGTCAGGAGCTGCCGCAGCAACTGGAAGCGGAACCCGCTGGCCTCTCGTCCCCACCCCGTCGCTGGTGTCGTCGAAAGAGCGCTATTTCGTGCCACCAGTGTGCCAACAACCACGTGGACGGTCAGTACGCGCCACTATCTAACGGAGTCGGGTGCTAACAACAAGTCTCACGTGATGACACGAGTCACGCATTGCGTCTCGACGATGCCGCCGTCCACGAGGACCTTCCGCAGCTCTTCTTTGGCTGCATACGCCAACAGGACGTCGTCGTGATCGATGTGCTTGAGGAACGTGTCTACTTCAGTCTGCGTGAGGTCATGTCGGCACCGAACCGCAGCTGCAGTAGCCCTAATGCCGCGGAGTTCTACGCCCCACTCTGGCATTTGATGCAGCACTTGGTATCCACCAATCGATTACGCGGCGATCTTGAAGAGCCGCAGAAAAGTGCCGTGAAGGCCATTGCAGCTTGGAAGCGAAGCCCAATGGAGACGTCGCTTTGGATCGGTAGCAGGTGATTGAGCAGCAGCGAAAACTTTTGCAGATACACGAAAAAGACGAGGAGGAGGACGGTGAAGAAGAAGACGAAGATCCACTTGATGATCGGATACAGGTCCGAGTACGCGACAGAGTGCTAGGCGCCTGCGAATGACGTCGTAGCCACTTCTGCGGTCGAGACTGTCGTTGCTGCAAGCCCACGAAGCTCCAGCTACTATAGCGGACACTGTGCGTTCCGACAATTGGATCCCTACATTATCAAGTTACGACTCGTCCGGTGTGGCGCTCACGTGAGCTCATCCGTCACTCCAGCGCATCGAACGTTTGCCATCGTTCGACCACTCCTCACTTTTGTCAGAAGGAATACTATGCACCAGACGTAACGGCGCTGTTGTAGCAACTGATCGTGTCAAAAGCGCTTGCGCACGTCGCGAACTACTGCTTGTCGCCTGGAGCTTCTCGGTTTCACCATTTCCGATGGAAAGCAGCCCAATTCAGCCTCTCCCAAGCCACTCGGACTGTCCAGGAGCGACCCGACAGCGCGGACAACAAGCACACCCGCTGCCACGCAATGCACGAGCGAACAGGAACAAACGTCGACGTGGTCGCTTCTTCGTACCGAGGGGAACGGTCATCAAGCGACACAACGTGACTCGACATGCAACAGCACTGCAACTTCAACTAGACCTCTCGTGCGAGTGCCACGTCACTATCGCTCTCCATTCCGTTTGTTGCTCGGGTTTTGGCTATTGCTAATGGCTCACATTGGACGGTCGTCCGAGGCGGTGGAGCGCTATTTGCGCAACTTTAGCGACGGAGAGATCAACCACCACGAGATCCTGGAGATCACGCTCTGCTATGGACTGCAGTGCCTGTCAAAGACCTTTCCAGTCCGCGGCCGCAGCATCACATGCAGCGAATTACGAACTATCACAGGTCAGTGCGTCCAATCGATCACTTTTCGTTAGCGTTGCAAGTATTGCAATATTCCTGGAACTAGTTATATTGCAATGTGACAAGACGAACCACTTTATTTTCTCTCGAGTGTTGATGATACTATTGCTACCGACGCGACTGCAGGGTACAAAACCGCCACGAAGCAAGACTTTCACGTGTGCAAAGCCTCGCGCGCGAGTGATCACCAGGAGAACGAGCAGCAGCAGCACATGGCGGCAAAAGTGCGGGTCAAGCCGTCGCATGCATGGAGAGATGGAGAAGTAGATATGGGCGACTTGCCAAAGCCACGTGCAGTGGTGACTGAGGCTGCTGCAAGTTCACGAGCCGAATCAGGAGCGTTGATCGCCCGTCCGCCGGCGTTCGACGAGATTGACTACCTCACGAAACTGTTGGGGAAGCCGCTGGTGTGTCTGGCGTGGCAGACGTTTGCGGCGAGGAAGAGGTCGTTGATTGCTGCGCCACATGAGCTGGAGGAGCTCTTTTTTCGAGTCGATCAGAGGAGGACAGTGACGTTGATTCCGACGATAAAGCTGCCAGTGGCATCATTCGCTGAGTTCATGGCTGCGTATGTGATGGAGTGCATGCGTCAAGCGCAAGGCACATGGACTGCAGACACAGAGGACCCTCATAGTGGTGACTTGTCTGTTTCTCATGATGAGCGAACGAGTTCTCGCGGTCGTCGAGAATCAGCTCTGGGCTCGTGTCGCTCTTCAGGCACGGATGGTCGGGGACGGAGTGCTAGTGCTTCGTCCGCTGCAGTTGGCGACACGAAATCCGTCGAGTCAACGCATGCCGATACGAGGTGGAGACACCGTCTTCGACGACCTCAGACGCAATCAAAGCAGACAGAACGTGCTCCGATGTCCTTTCGGAATGAACAGTCGAAGGTCCAGTCAGAGCTACACACTGAGCGGCAGACGCTGTTGCGAGCGAAAAAGACACGGTTGCGGGAAATGGTAGAGACTGAACGAACAGCTGCGTACAATACGCAGCACGAGCTGCATGGCATGCGAGATGGGCGTCTTGCTCCGGACAGCATGCCTGTCAATGATATAACGACAGGTACTGCATGCTGAGTTCTCGACAACATTGAAGCATGTTGGAATGACTCGAACGCTGTTTTACTGTCGCAGGTGCTGCTGCGTTGGAGATTGTGGATGAGTTCATGAGGGGCCCTCTGATGGACAAGTTTGGGTGAGAAAAAGCTTCCCGTATCATGCAGTATGATGCCGTCGGCGAGGTTGAGTTTCGATTCAGATTGCTGGTGCTTGAGCATCGACGTTGTGTACTACCAAGCGTCGATCCCGAGCGTCATTCGTTGCAGAGCCAGTGACGCCATTCAGCGGCGCCCACCACCGGAAGAGACTCGTACTGCACAATGACATTAGACAAGTACTTTGTAGAATGCACGGCACCGATTTGACCGCCGATCAAATGAACCGAAGTGAGGTGAGGTGGACGCTGTCATCGTGGCGATCTTCGATACATGCTATAGATTGCGACCCTTGTGTATCTGTGCAGAACATGAACCATGGCTGGGCGAGTTTAGGCCACTTCCACGACAATGACCCCGGCGAGTCGTAGACATCCCATTTGTGCCAAAATGATGTCCTCGCGTATTCTGACTTTTCGAGTAACGTCCAGTTGACATCGTTCGACATTCCGCTCAAGCTCGAGTCCTGTGGGCACTGTATCCAAACGAAGCCACAGCAAGTGAACGTGGGTAAAATTGATACTTCAACGCGCTGCATGACTGGCGTCACCGTTTCTTGGTCCGTCGAGCGGAAATCACGAGATGACAGATTGTCCAAGCCACGATCAATCTTTGAACGAGTAAAAGGGACCGATACGACTAGACTGTGACTTGGACGGCGGCCTGACGATGCGCTGAGTGTAGACTTGAATCCTGGATCCCAGCGGCTCGACGACACCGTTTCATTTCCCGAAAGCACATGACCGGACATAGTTACCCTAGATCGGCCCCACACGAAGTGCCACAATCAAATTCATAAGCGAATAGACGCAGTAGTAAGCGATAAGAAGCTTGCCGTACCACACCGGACAGCGGTACTTGTAGTGGCCGAAGACCAACAGTGTCGAAGTGAGCGAAACAAAGAGGAAGACTAACGATACCCGAGCATGGACGTCCATCGACAAGGCTTCGCTGCGCCCGGACACGAATGCAAGCACCATGGGAAGTCCCAACCCGAGCAGTATGTTGAAAACTGGGCCAGCAAAACATCCGGCAATAGCCATTTGCGAAAACCCAGCGCGAGCCACGGACACGTCCGTGATGAGATCGCCTACCGAATTCCCCCATGCAAGCACTGTCAGTCCCAACAAGCTGTTGCTGACATGCGTGATATAGCCCACTGCAGCCAGCAACGCCATCAGCTCATTCGCCACGGCATAAATCCAGCACACGCAAGCCACAAATGCCAGGGAAAGTAGTAGGCTCGACGATTTGAATGAACGCGGCGCATGCGACCGGTGCGTACAGAGCGCGACGATGCCACTTACAAAGCCACCCACGATCGTGAGTGCTTGCCACAGCGGTACGCGGTGCGAGAATCTTCCGCCACAGATATCAACGTTGGCGTATCCGCTCATTGCTGCGACTAGTAGCGGAGCTGTTGTAGGCGATAGACACGCTCTCGGACGCGACCATGACTCATCATCGAAGAGAGGAATGGTGATGTCTCGGACAAGAAAAAGTGCCGCTTGTGGGATGCAAAGCACTTTCACCACAAGCGGCTTGTCGCTCGTAAATATCCGAACGACGCGACGCTTCAAGCGCCATCTCCAGCGCATGTGCTGCTGCCACTTTGGAAGCATTTGCTTACCATCATCAACGGCATCGCGCTCGCTTTCGGCCATGAGCGGAGACGACAACGACTCACTCTCGTCAACGTCAAAGTGGTCATTATACACTCGACTGGAAAACCTGGGACCTGCCAATGGACCAAACGAAGACATCCCGAGTTTCTCAAGCTCCTGCGGCATCCCTGCACGATAGCTATCCGCTACGCTCTCGGTATCTGGCTCAGCATTGGACCCCGTCACAAATGCATATTCGTGCTCAGGCTGCCCAGGCCTCTTCACTCCTTTTGCATCATTCCCTCTTGGCGAGAGCGCGTGCCAAAACGCTTTGATCATCAGCGTTGACTTGCCTACCAACTCGTCGCCACGAATATCGTTGGGAGCTGCTTTGTACCTCGCCACACAGGCTGAAAGGACGACACTGCCGACGTATGTCCCGTACAACGCCAACAGCGTGACAGCTGACACTGCTGTACTCCACATATCTTCCTTTCCGCTGCGTACAGCGAGCAGGAGGAACAACAGCAGCGAGGTGAGGAGCGCCCCCACGTCGCGTAGAAACGCCCAGCGCTGCACCTCTACGGCACTAGCCATGGCTACGCCGCCTACGACGACCGTGGAGACGAACATCGCTCCTCCTAGTAGCTCATTGATCCCTGTCTCACTCACACCAAAGCCGTACGCTGCAATAGCTGAAAACACGTCAGGTGCTCCGTTGCCAAAGGCCAGGAACGTGACACCCGCAACATCGTGAGGAAGCCGGAGGCGATCACTGAGAGTTGCTAACGTTGGCGAAAAGTAGCCATCCGCTGTACTGCCAACTACAACATATAATAACGGGATAGTAAGTCAGTCTCACGGATCAAATAGAGTGCCGTAATAGAAATAGAGAGGGTGCCACTCTATTCCTATTCGCAAGAGACGTACGGAAGTAAAAGAGCGCGGCGAGCCATACGATCAATAGTGAGAACGAAAGCAGAGGCAGATCGTATAGTGAGCAGTAGTGGATGTGGACGTAATCGATTGCAAGAGGGCCAAGCGTCATGTTCGCTACGAACGGGTGGTCACTGCACGCCGCTGGGCGCAAGAGCGTCGTCGACATGACAGAATTGTGATGTAATCGCACGATTGCGTCTTTCGTACCCCATGGAATCGCTGCGGTTGTACCCCGTGAGCGAACTTAGTGTGCCACTACAATTCGCACTTAGTTAGCTGAGCGCGGTAAGCTGCTTTTTGGTCAGCGTAATTAGCTGATTAGCCTAGTTGCTCTGGCACCAGGTTGGACCTATACGGGCGAAATACTTGCTCAATTTTTGTCTCTTAATAAAGCCGAGTGTCAAAAAAGCAAGCCGAGTCACAAAAACCGGCAGGCAACGAACGCACGACGTCGTTATCATGAGAGAACTATGACGTCGAAAAGAGCAGCTAGGTTTGAACGACGGAAGCTATCCCTGTGTTGTGTTCGTGTTGGAGTACTCTATACGAATAAATCGCAAGTTAGAGAGACTGCTTCTGGACTCGATCCAATCGACTGCTGCTGGATTAGCCTTATTCCGGAAGTCGAGGCACAAAACTCCCACGATTGGCGCTGAAGCGTCGCGCTTCAATTTGGGTAAACTCACCTTCTCCGTTACGCATGAGTCTGTACTTGTTCTCGTTAACGTATCTGGACGAAGGAGAATGTAGTCGACCAATCAGTTTGCCATATGCGGCTTCATAAACCAGTGAATGCAACCCCAGCTTCAAGGCCGGGAACCCGATGCACTCATAAGTGACTAACTATCGCGCGTACGACGACTGGTATACCCTGTGGATCATTAAAAAATGATCCAGAAGTATGCTGGTCGTCGTCCGCGCGACAAAAGCACAGTGTGTACCTACAGATAGCAGCAAACAAGTCGAGCGTGGTGGGCAGACAGCGAGATCCATTCAATGGCTCTGACACCACATTGCAACAAACGAAAGCTGTCGCGCAGATGTAGATGTAACAGCCATGTCCCTCGATGATGAACAGGTGGGGCCAAGTGCGACCACAGCAACGTTTTGCACAGCGTCTATCCTACTTGACACTCACAGCGAGAGTGAGACTTCAAGTCATGGGAACAACGGTAGCTGCGTGCTCGGCGCTGTACAAGCAGACTGATCATAGCCTCTGCTGATCGATCCTCATCCCACAGCCAAAAATTTCCGAAGATATTGCTCCTTTTCTCGCACCACGAGACATGCCCACGACTCACTCGTCCGTGTAGAAAGAGTCAAGCCTGGCCTTGAGTTGCCAGTAGCTCGTGGAGACCAGCACTCTAATCCTGCCTTGCTTAGAAACGTTGATTTCTAACGAGAAGTCGACCCACGCCACTCCCTCCCTAAACCGATCCCTCACTCGACCAGCGTCTGCAGTAGCCACCCAATGGCTCCAGGACGCGGTAGAAGTAGCGGCGGCGGTGGCAGTGGCGCTGGCAGCAGCCGCAGTGGACTTTGCGTGGCGGTCGTGGCAAAGGGAAAGGACGAGGACGTGGACGAGGCGGACCAAGAGGGAGCTACGGCTGGTACCATGAACCCATCACGAGTCTCGACGAGAGCTTCTGCATGTCGATCCACAAGGCGCTGCAGTCGCTTGTCGACGACGGCGAGCGCGCGGAGCTGAGCTTCCCGTCGACGTACGACAACACGCAGCGTCGCTATATCCACATGATGGCTGAGAAGTACGGTCTCTTCTCGAAGAGCGCCGGCAGGAAAGGAGACGGTCGCTTCATCCACGTGGCGTCCGTGAAGAAGAACGCCGCGATGGAGAAAGTGTCGTTGCGTCTGCACCCGACGCCTCTGAACCCAAAGATGGACGAGTGGTATCCACCCGAAGTGAAGCAGTACATGGCGACTTATCCGTCTCCTTCGCTGGAAGACGAGGGAGCAGTGGATCCATGGGGGGCCAAGACATTTACGCCACTGGGGGTCGCGCCTATGCAACATCGCGGTCGAGAGGCGTTGTTTAGCCACCTGCCGAGCCGTGGCAGTCAGAACGGACCAAAGATCGTGCGGACTCCACTTGTTGAAGTGACAAAGCTGCCGGTGTATCAATATCGTGAGCAGATACTGAACCTTGTAGAGGAGAATCAGATTGTGGTACTGTCAGCAGATACTGGATGTGGAAAATCAACGCAGATCCCGCAGTTCTTGCTGGATGATGCGTTAGCACGAGGACGAGGCAAGGAAACGAGGATTATTTGTACTCAACCACGACGAATCAGCGCAATGTCCCTCGCGCAACGAGTGGCAAGTGAACGCCCAGGACAGAGCTCCAAAGAAGTGGGGTATGCGATTCGATTTGATTCGTCGTTTGATGCCAAGCAGTCCAAGCTCATCTTCTGCACGACAGGCACGCTGCTCAAATGGCTTAACAATGACCCATCGTCGCTCGGCTTTTCGCACATCATTTTGGACGAAGTGCACGAGCGGGACATGTTTACTGATTTCTTGCTTATTCTGATCAAGACATCTATTCTTAAGCAGAGACCGGACCTCAAGGTGATTCTCATGAGCGCGACGATCCAAGTGGAAAAGTTCTCGCAGTACTTCCAACCAGAATTTCATCCGCCGATACTCCAGATGGTGGGAGGCACTAACTATCCAGTGTCCACGCTTTTTCTCGAAGATATTCTAGCACTACTGAAGATCGACCGCACTTCGTCGCTGCCAATTATGGACGATTCGCAAAGTGGTCTTACCGGAGATGGGTCCATAAGCCAACCAGGAGCACCGGCTGTGGATAACATGCTAGTATGTTCATTATGCGGTTGTGCGAGTTTCGAAGATGAAGAGGCGTTCGGCATGCACGTAGCGACTTGCTTTGGCAAGCCAAGTGCTGATTGTGAAGCACCGCGTACTCCCAAACAGGACACTGCCCCATCAGCAGTGCCTGTTTCTGCTATGGGAGATTTTCTGCAAGCCGCGCTGCGTGGAATAAAACAGAAAGCGAAGAATGCCGCACTTAAATCGTATACGAAGCAGTACGATGCGCTGCAACAGGACCAGACCATCGACTACAATCTGTTGCTACAGCTGCTTTTCCTGATAAACCGCATGTTCCCGCTCGGTGAAGATGGAAAAGGAGCTATTCTGGTATTTCTTCCTGGCTGGGAAGAAATCTCTTTCATGGAGCAATCTCTTCTCAAGTCAGAAGCAACATCAGCAACCTACGAGATTGCTCTTCTTCACTCGCGTTTGGCACCCGAGGAACAGCGTCGCGCATTCATGACACCACCGCCTGGAAAGCGGAAACTGGTGCTGGCTACCAACATCGCCGAAACCAGTCTTACTATCGAAGATGTGGTGTTTGTCGTGGACTGTGGCAAATCCAAGCAGACGCACGCGCTTGCTGCAACTTCGGCCTCATCTTTTGTGATGGGTTTGCAAACTACGTGGATTGCACGGGCAAATTGCGTGCAGCGCATAGGTCGCGCTGGTCGTGTTCGTGCGGGTGTTTGCTTTCGCCTTTTCTCGAAAAATCGATACGAGACAGCGATGAAAGAGTATATGCCTCCACAGTTGCTTACCAATCCGTTGGAAGAGCTGTTGCTGCAAATTATGCTTCTTCAAATGGACAAGAAGCTCGATAATAGCAGTGCCAAGGCGTTCCTTCTCGAAGCAATGGACGCGCCTAGCGAGGCCTCCATCGATGCTTCGCTACAGCGATTGGTAGGTATGCACGCACTTGCTAAGAGCAAAAAGAAGGGCCTACGTCTGACGCTGCTGGGGTGGCATTTGGCGCACATTTGCTCAAGCGGCGTATCCATACAGATGGCGAAGTTCCTTCTTTGGGGGCACATGTTTGGCTGTTATGACGCTACGTTGAAGACTTCGTGCGCGCTGAGCGGTTATCGGGATCCATTTGACAGTTCCCTTGGCATGTCGAAGGGCGATAAACAACTGGTGGCTGCTGCCAAGAGGGCGTTTACTCGCAATGGATCGCCACCAGAGCTTACTTTGCAGAGCGATCATTTCGTACTCTGTAAGGCGTTCGAGGCGTACCTCGACGTGCGCTCTTCATGCAAGACAAAGAGATTATTTTGTGCTGAGAATAGGTTGAATCTGCAGACTTTGGGTCAACTCGGTGCGATCTACAAGAAGCTGCAGCAAGACCTGGTCAAGATGGGATTGTCGGCCGCAACTCAGCTTGTGCCGACCTCCCCCGCCAACAACACCAGCAACTATGGAGAGCATCGCACCGTATTTGATGGCCCTCAGTATCGGTATGTACCCGAATGCGCTGTCCACGCGTCCTAGTCGAGTGACGGAGTTTTGGCAGACGAAAGAGAAAGTAAAAGTTACGATGAGTGCTACATCTATGGTGACGTTGTCCAGTGCTGGCCTGCATTCAAAGTGGAAAAAGCGTAAACGTGAGCAGGAGGAGCTTGGTGTGCACGAATGGCTGGTGTATCACGACATGATGCAATCTGGAAGTACTCGTGTGGCAAAGTACGGTACCAGACTGCCGTCAGTTTTGCTGCAAGCGCTTTTCATGGGATCGGTAAAAACGCAGGTGGTAGAGGAACGTAAAACTGTCGTGAAGGGCAGTGGTACCGATGGCGAGTCAGTGGCGTCGAGCACGTGGTTACTTGCCTTGGACGATTGGATCACTTTCGAGGCCAACGGTGCTACTGAAGTGCGCTGGCTCGCACTTTTGCGGGAACGCTTGCATGCTGCATTTGCTCGTCACTTGGAGCGACTGCTAGTGCGTCCGAAAGCAGGTGAGACCAATGCGTTGCCAAAGCGTGGTCAGCAGCTAAGGAAGCATGACGTAGCGCTTGTCCGGGCTTTAGTTGCCTGGGTCTCTTCTGATCTACGTGGTAAGGTGAGCGTAAGCTGCAAACGGTAGACAGACATCTGCGGCAAAAAGGATCCTTCTGCGAGGATATCTAGAGCTCGATCCCATTTGGCGGTTCCATCGACGACCTTAATGCTGGAAAGAAAATATTGGAGCTGGCAACTGGATTTGTGTGTGCGACCATTCCGATGACCGTGACGCTCGAAGCAGTATTCCTTCATGTTTATCTGCCCGAGGTAACATTGTTGTTGTTGAACGTTGCATGTTAAGGTGGTAATCGTTCACAGTGACATCTAAATCAATGTCAATATGACGAAGCCGCCCTGTTACAGTACCCATCAGGCGGTGTTCAAGAGCAGCAGTGCTTTCTCTTTTCTGTTACAGGTCCGCAGGTTCGGGTTACACCCAATCGGGCTGAGACACGCGATGATGCGTGTATGAGGGGGGGGTACGTGCACACAGTGTTTCCTCCGATAAGTTGTCCTTTACTAAGTTTTGAGGTCCGACAGGTCATTATTGACGAGGTGTTCACAGAGACCGCTCTGGGGACCGATGTCATAGCCAGTAGAAGAAAAATCTACGATCTAGCAGAAGGCTAATCTACAATGTACTCGTTGCAGCGTAAGAGGATGCGTGTCAACAAGCACCATCGTCATGGATAACACGATTGATGGGAAGGAAGCTACTTGAATCACGAGCCAAGGGTGAACCGGGTGACGCGGTCCGTTACACATACCAAAGTGAAGGTCGCTAAGGACGTGAAGCAGTGTAATGACTTTCATGAGGGTGTATCAGGCAGGAATGAGGGACCCCATGGCTGAAGCACCTAAATGGTGGTAGGGATCTCGGCCTGGCATGTACCGATCAGCACATGGCCATAGGTCGGCTGACGTCGTGATGTAGCTGACCTCCATGTGATCGTCACAATCGATCGCATTCGACAGATCAACGGAGCTATTGCCGCTTGGATGCGAAGATGACGCCGAAATGCATCAATAAGATCGTGGTCATCTTAAATGATGCAAGAGGCTGAGCTTCGATACTCTGTCAGCATAGTGCTTAGCTGTCTGCAGCTTCTACTAAGTTTGTGCCCTATGAGTAAAGTAGGGGATAGAATGAAGCACTTTACGGCATTTATTAACGGTAGTGTGAATGGTCCGTATTTTTGTGGTTGTTTACGCCTTGTGCTGCGTGGTTCGAGCTCGATCAAGTGGTGAGGTTCCACATGGTTGCTCCGGTCAGCTGCTTGACCGGATGATTTGACTTGATGCATCCAGTGCGTCTTACACAATGATCCCATAAGCTGTAAACATCTTGGGATCAGTGCGATTTTCGCCCACTAAAAGCAAGACTTATCGGAAGGGGCACAGCACTGAACACTGACCAGTAACGACACAAAAACACTCTGTTGGATCTGTTGGATGGAACTGGCTTGTCCAAAAACACGATGCATTTAGCGTGTGTAGCCATGTATGCTGCCTCAATCTGTCTCATTCGGCCGCGACTGCGCAAGCATATCCGTCAACAGCTTTGTGATCGTCAGCAATTGCATTTCCTGGCGACTCAGCTGCACTTGGAGCTGAAGCTATGTTGCAAGCATGACCGGGAAAAAATAGTGTAACAATGTGGCAACCCCGACAATCAGTTCAACATTAGGCGACCAACCTGCGTGGTAGTGAGCCGGTTAACTTGTTCTTGAAGGCGTATGATTGGAAGAGCAGGGGACGAAAACGGAGAGGGCTCGTGAGGCGTTGGTAGCGCCGACGCCGGAAATGAAATCGTATGTGTTGTCCCTGGCGATTCCAAGTCTTCTCCCGATGAATACAATTGCAAAAACGTCAGCCTATCTGGCGCACAGTTTGGCCTGTCTCGGTTGGCTCCAAGCGTACCTGTAAACGCCGAGCTACTGAACGCCCTTGTCAGCGACATTTGGATCGACTCTTCCATCGCTTGCTCGCTCTTCTTTTCCTGTTTCTTCAGCATAACTTCGATAAAGCCACTTCCGAGGATAGCACCTGAAACGACAAATGACATCACGTCTCATGAGACCATCCCTGTCACAAATTGAGCACTGAATATCTCACCAGGTATTGTGAACAAAATGATGCCCCAGAGCGCGAGTAGAGACGAGAAAGCTCGACCCGCAGCAGTGATAGGCACGATGTCGCCATATCCTAAAGACGTGATGGTCTCGATGGCCCACCAAGAGCACGTACCGATGCTCGAGAACACCTTGGGCTGAGCTGGATTTTCAAGGAAAAAGCTACAGAAAATCGACACCGGCACGTGTCCATCATAAGCATCATGCTCGCTTTCGAAAGCGACCTCGTGAACTGCTTACATGGTGGTAGATGAAGTCAACACAATGACAATGGTGAGGTAGCTGACAACGCCAAGCTCTTGTTTCTTCAGCGCGAAAATCTCACGTAAATCTTTCATCGCCTGGTAGGAGCGTTCGAGGTGCAAGAAGGACATGATACGCAAGAGCCGAAAGCCTCGCAGTGTCAAGACACCACGCGACGACACTGCTCCCCTGCGCGGTCACCACATTGAACAGCACCACACGCCCACACACACAACCGTGAGCTCTACCCCTTGTCTCGTCTTGCCATCACGCTATCTCCACGTACTGATGCTCGAGCAAAATCTCCAGATAAAATGGAATGAGCACCACGAGGTCGATGATCGACATTGGCCGACTCATCCACTTGAGCCTACAACGACACTGTCAGTATCGCAGAGACGGCAGCAAACACACATGTGGCTCTTTTCCCTTTCCGTACCTGCCGCACACTGGATGCGTATACCGGTCGTCCTCAACACACGACCAGAGACGGAGCATGTACTCGACCGTGAATAGCCCCGTCGACACGTACAGAAAAAGCACGTACCAATCGGACGACGTCACTGTTTTGTAGCACAACGAGTCCGTCCGTCAGTCGTCAGTCGTACGCATCGACGCATCGCATTGTCTCCACGTCTCCTATTGTTCTGCTACGTCTGCTGCTCGAGGAGCTCCACGTGCGTACGTGACCAGTCAACGTACTCGCAGGGCCGAGCGGAGACGCCGACACGTACATGGCCAGCGCAACATTCAGTGTGATCAGTACCAGTACGCCGATTTCCAAGAGGTACGACGCGCGGTGCAGTCCCGAGCGCTCTTTGAGCGACGTGCGGTAGTGCAGCAGCGTCCAGACGTCGCTACGTAGCGACGCGTAGGCGCGAGGACAGCTGCCGCGTCGCGTGGGCGAACGGACTGTTGTGGTCACGAATGCAGTCCGCAGGCCGCGTGGTCCGTCCTCGTCGTCGCTGTCCTTCGCGACGAGACACTGCCGCTCGTGCGCGTCCATGGGGTCCGTCTGGCTTTCGTGTGGGGAATGAATTGTGCGTCGGGAATGACCGACGGTCGGAACCAGAGCGAAGACGATCGATGGTGTGTGTATTTCTTCGTTCAGTCTGTGTGCCTGTGTGGCACGATTTGGTCCCACGCTATGACTCAGGTTTGGCTCATGTAGCTATGCAGCTTTTTGCGCACGGGTTGCAAACGGGGCGACGAGCGACGGTCGGAAGCGGACAGAAGCTCGGCGCAATTTCGAACCCACAGCGAGTTCATGCTGGACCAGAGCAAAATTCGAGCTCTCTCCATATTACAAGCCGGTCTTCTTTTTGGTAACTGTCAGGCTGATGCAGCGAGGTTTTTTTTTACACAGACGGCAACAGTCAGGACAAGAAAGATCGGTTGTTCACATTTGTAGGCGAAATCACGCTTCGACACTAGTCGTGCGCCCGCACGTAAGCTCAAGTGAGTGTCGCTAGGACGGCCGTTTTACGTCAAGTCCGATTTGTACATCTTCGCTGACGTTGATCCACAAGTGTGTTGGAAGTGGAGATGTCGTAGCGGACACCCCCCTTCCTGGTCGACGACGCCCCAGCTGCCCTGTTTGGTAGTTATGATGGGTGATTTGTGTTGGTACACTAAGTTCTAGAAGGTTGTTAGTCGTTGAGCGCAGGATAGAGAAAGATCTCACTTCTAGATTGATGAAGCCGCTGAAGAGGCCCGCGGCGGGGGGGCGAAACTGTAACGCGGTGAGCCCGTTACATAGAAAATTGATATGGATGCATCATTTTTTTAGTAGTATCTATTTAGATAATATTCAATTGACATTACTCGTAAGGAGTAAGGTTGAAGGAATATTACCCCCGAGGGTAATATTTAGTTGATGGGTTGCTCTACCTGATGGTTGATGTTCACGGTACATCAACCAGATTAACCACCAGTCGCTGTTGGACGCGCGATGGGTGGTGATCAAGAAACCCACAGAGGAGGTTGTAGTTTGCTATAGTTAGATCAAGACAAAGATGATTGATTAAAGAGACATAACTACATCAAATACAATTCTACTTTTTCCCTTAGACAGAGCTTTCGCGCTCTGTATACTTCCTCGCGCTTCCTCACGCCACGTGTACGTGACGTCGGGAGTACGCATCCTTGTGTTCTGTTAACACAAGGTGTTACCAGTCATCTGATACGAGCGTTCCCCGTTATACCTGGTAGCACTTTGTAGTGTGTTCAGCGACCACGACTACCTCATTTTAGATGAACATGTTGGACGAAGAGGAAAGCTATCACGCCACGCGTGAAGGCTATAACCATTTGAGTGACATCGAATGGAGTGCAGTAGGACGTATGAGTTCTACCGTAGGCGAGTTCGCCATTAGCGCCATGTTGAAGTCTCGTGACAGAGACCAACAACATGCCGCTATAGCCAGGTTCATTCAACATGAACTTGTCGCCGAAAGAGAGAAAGTAGCCTTGCTTCACCAGCAAGGCTCTCAACAGGCCAAGCAGTTGAGACGACTCAGTGCTTAACAGACAGAGCTGTTGAGACAGCAGCAATTCAATGCTGCTGTGGGTGGGACGACACACACTCGTCGTCCCGAAATCTGGAAGATTGGCATCTTCAAGTACAGAGAAGCCGAGGAAGACTCCCTGTTTTTGATGGTTTGTCAAACTCGACAGAGCCATAACGGCACGTCGTATCGACGATGGGCAAATGAAACTCACATTTGCTCAAACCCACTTGACAGGACGTGCCAAGACTTCGGCCTTTGGGCTCGAGATGAGCGACCCATATGCTTTTCAGTCGCTAGAAGCCTTGAAGACCCGACTCAAACGAACGTTTGAACCGCCACGGGCTGACTTTAGGGCTCGATCAGAGCTCGATCAGAGCTCCTGAAACTCAATACTGGGTAAGCGTGATGTGCACGCTTACGCTCAACATATACGACTCCTCGCGAGTTGTATAGCTGCTAACTCAGTAAGTGAACACACGTTAATTACTGTGTTCATGCAAGGGCTCGCAGATGGCCCCGTCAGGAACCACCTGTTCCGCTTAGAGTTGAGTTACGCTTGAACAATCAATCGCAGCTGCGGAACAGGAAGACTTTAGAATGAGACAGGCTCATGCTAGCTCGAGCTCTTATCGTCCACCGAGACGACAAGAGACTGGAGGTTCAGAATCACATGGAACTCTGCTATGTTAAGAGCGCCAGACCTCGCTCTTCAAACAACAAGCGATCGCAGAAGTGCAGTAGCTGTCAGAAGTTAAGACACTACGCTTACGAGTGTAGTGCCCCACGCCCAGTACCAAACAGTACTGAGCGAAATGAACGACCATTTGCCAAAAAGGGCGATGGGCGTGGGTCCAACGCTGTTGCGAAACCGCAACAGCGACGCGGACCATCAAAAAATGGTCGAGGTCAGTAGGGGCAGAGCACCCTACTGATCCAGCAACCTCAAGAGAATTCGCAAATCTCTTGACGAAAGTTGCTCCAGATACACAATCACTGTGTGTCTCTGCACCTGGTGATGACGTTTCGCTCATCACCTTGAAGTTGAAAGCTGACAAATGATTTGTCACTTCGTGCCCTAGTAGACTGCGGGGCGTCGAACAACTTTGTTCGACGCCAGTCACTAGAGGGTCGTAGGCTCAAGTTCGTTGAGCGCGACATTCCCCTCACAAGGATGACGGTGCGCCTTGCAACAGGCGCATCGATAACCGTTGAGAAACGTGTAGTAGGAATCCACTACACGTTGAGAGGGTGAACAGTACGATGATGACTTCATCGTATTGGATCTGGATGACAAATTTGATGTCATCCTGGGATTACCTTGGCTCAGAAAGTACGAGCCAAGGGTGAGCTGGCAGCATCGATCCGTGAAGATGCCTGCCGCTTGTTCATCAGATGGCCATCTGATGAACATCTTGGAGCGTCCACAAGCGTGTGGATGTACTGCAAGTGAGTGCGATGTCCTCACTTGCAGTACGGTCGTTAGCACGACTGCACAAGATCACAGTGTAGATGATCGCTACACTGTGGAGCAAGCTCCCGGCGGCTGTACAGATGTACAGGCTGCGCCGAAGGTCCACCACTCGAATAAGTCGAGTGGACCGGGACATGGATGCATGCCTAGCGGGCAGCATCTTAGAAGTAAGAAACCTGTTGCCTCTAAAGGGCAACACGGTCATCCTAGGTCGACTGGAGAGTCGATTGTAGAGGATCGGTGCCTGACTGTGGTTGCACAGCCACAGTCGGAAGACGTCGAGGGAATAAGTACCCACGTACTTGAGGAAGGAATTCCTCAAGAGTCACTTGCTGAGGGATCAGGCCCTCAGCAACCTGTGGAAGCAAGTTCCCAGGAAGAAACCGAGACGTTGAACGTCTTGGTTGATGACGGATCAAGCGTAGGCGCTTATACGCTTGATCTGATTGTGCCTCCGAAGTCAACTTCGGAGATAACTCAGTTGCCAACGCTAGAACCGAAACGGTTCTTGCGTGATCTGCGTAGTGGCAAAGTCAAACAGATCTGCATACTCGTCACGGAGGATGAGTATGTGGCCGATATTCGGTCGGCTACAGTATTTGCTGAGAACGAACGGGTTCTCAGCAGCTCATCGATGGACGAAAGTGTCCTCGATGAGAAGACTCGGATTGAGCGATACACGTCTCAATCCTGGGAGTCACTTCAGGCAAATCCTTTGTATAAGGATTTGATCGAATTCAGGGATGTATTCCCTGAAGCCGTACCTTGCGATTTGCCTTAGGACAAAGACACTCGACACGAGATCGAGCTCAAACCGGGCTCGAAGTACTGTGTCATGAGGCAGTGGCCACTGTCTCGTGAACAAGTACTAGCGATCGACAAGTTCTTTACCGATCGCTTTGCAGCGGGCCATGTGAGGGAATCAACTTCCCCTCACAGCTCTCCGACCTTCTGTGTGCGAAAGGCCACAGGAGGGTGGCGGATAGTGCACGCATTCAACAAGTTGAATGGTGCAACGGTACCGGCTCAGACGCCGATACCGAGGAAGGACGTAATCATAGATGGTATGTCAAAGAGTACTATCTTTTCGTCCATGGATCTGATGGATGGATTCTATCAGATCCTCATGCGTGAACGGGACATCCCGTTCACAGCAGTGAGCACCCCCAGCGGGATGCTGTGGGAGTGGCTAGTTATGCCACAGGAGCTGAGCAACGCCCCTGCAACATTCAACAGATGTGTCACAAATCTGTTGAGACCGGTGCGAGACTTCGCACCGAGTTACTTCGACGATGTGTTCGTCCATATCCGGGCTATGGACGGAAAGACGGACGTTGAAGTTCACAGAACTCACGTTCGTCAGGTTCTTCAACTCATGCGCAAGAATAAGTTGTACGCCAACCTCAAGAAGTGTATATTCGTGGCTAGCGAAATACCACTTCTTGGGTGCATCGTGGGTAAACACGGCGTACGCCCTGATCCCGAAAAGATCAAGGCGATCACCGACTGGCCAGTGCCAGTCGATGTCAAGGGACTTCGTAATTTCCTTGGCTTAGCGGCGTACTTGCGCAAGTACTCGCGCAACTACGCCGAGATGACTGTTCATCTTTCTTGCTTGCTCAATAAAAATGCCAGGTGGTCATGGAACGCTGACTGCCAGCGTTCTTATGAAGGTATCAAGCAAAGCTTGATGCAATCGCCCATCTTGGCGATTGCAGATCAGGACAGACCATTTCATGTGGTCTGTGACGCCAGCGATTTTGCAATCGGCTGGGCGTTAATGCAGTTCGACGCAGATGGCGCGGAGCGCGTCATCTGTTATCAATCGCGTCAGCTTCAAGCAGCTGAGCGTAATTACCCTGTGAGGGGGTGACAATAGCTCGTTTGAGAAGTCAATCCCAACTCCCCACTGGCGCCCGGACGATCGACTAACGGAGGGGGTACTCCGATTCCGTGCTACATACTTCGCTCATTTTGTGTACCCGTTGGTGACGGTTGCACTCTTCCAGGCGGACTCGAGTCAAA